GACAGCTTGTGCAAGTTGGTATCACCTTTAGATCTTTGATGTTCAGCGTACCTTCATAGTGTTTTCTTATTGAAGAATTCAATTTTTCCTTCAGGGCTTGGACTGGATCTTCTGGTTGCACCTCTTCAGTGCGAGGCTTTTTGGCTGGCACTGTGTTAACAGAACTGGGAGATTTTGTTTTCTTTGCAGAGAAATTTCTGGCAGCTTTTTTTTTTCTGCTGTTCTACAATCTTCTGTGATATTCCTGAGAAGTTGTTTGTGACCTGTAAATAAGTATTGAATGAGTAACATTTATAAAAAAGTTAGATGCACAGCAATAGACAGCTTTGTTGATAAAGTTGATACTGGTTTTCAAACTAGAGAATGAGTAATGCATTATATTGCATTCTAATATTACATATCATTGTAACTAAGGGAACTAAGGTGTCATCACATATTTTCTCAGTCAGTCCACACTATTGTAAATTAGTTACCAATATTGAGATACATGTGCACTTCTTCCCTACAGTTGTAGGTATATTAAATGGAACTTTGTTTCTCAATGTTTACTACATTCTGTTCCACACAGATTAGGAATACCTTAAACTGAAGGAAAATAGTGCACTGGAAAGAAGTTAATGAGTAGAGGCAAACAAAAGAAAATGTGGGTATAGTTCCATTGATAACTGGAAGGAAATAGAAAGTGTTAAATGAGAATGAAAATTTTACCTTCTAGTAGCTGAAATTTCTGGTTTCGATTTGAAAATTCCATAGTATTGTTGGACTTCTTCTTCAGAAAGCAAGTCTGAACTAGCCTTCATGAAAGCTTCAATCTTGTTAAATACTTCGTCATTAATTGAAGCCAGAAGGCTCTTTGAATCGTAACCATTCAATGCCAGTATATTTTGAAGCATAAGGGGTATCTGTATATCAGTCTCTACCGCTAGTTCAGACCACATACTTGTCGCAGTCTGCGTTGACTCGTCCTGAATTAAAAAGAAACAAAGTATTTCAATGTCTTCACCAGGTAAAAAAGATAATGAACAAATTTTGGATGTTTTAAAGTACACACCTTCTTACTGATTCCGTCTGAATTTTGTTCAAAGTGATCACCTCCTCCTCGGCCATTGTTATGCTTGTTGCTTGAGTACAGTGGATTGTAACTCAAACTTTCTGAAAACAATCACAACCAAAAGCAATATTAGAATATGCTAAAAAAGGAAATGAGAATGTTGAGCTGTTAACAAAGTGTGCTTTAGTCAGACATGTTTCTAGAACTGCTTGACAACAAAAACAACGTCACATTGAAGGGTACTATTTTGGTGAGGTTAAAGATACTTGTGTTCGGTTACACATGTACGTTCCTCACTTCAATGCGTAGGAAACAATTTTTCTAGAATTTCAATGCGAAAATTACGCGAACTGCCACAAATACTAACGACGAGAGAGTTACAAGAGTGACCTGTAAGAAACAAACTTAACCTTTAAAACGCAGCAGATCCGAGCAGATGTTTCCAGCCTTTCCGTTTACATATTTTTACGACTCGGAACACGCAAAACTAGCAAATAGTAAACACGCCGTTGATTTAAAACATTTCGGTCGATCAGAGGCGTATATAATTACCTTTTGTAGTACCAAACTCGGACATGCACAACTTGACTATGTCCACAGGTCGCAGCTCGTCTCTGGCTCGGAGGGATGCCGTTTTAGTGGGCGATGGTAGCGCCGTGGAGGATGGATGAACTACGACAAGCTGCTGTAGGCGCCGATACTCCATGCTGCACCGGTGGGCGACGCGGACCGGCTATACTTGTATTTTTTGAAAAAAAAAAGGGGGGGGGGACAGGGAAAATATCGGAACATTTCGGAACATTTTGGAACATTTGGGAACATTTGGGAACATTTGGGAACATCATGGAATATCTGGAACATTTTGGAACATGAGAACATTAGGAACATCAGGGAACATCAGGGAACATTTTTCGGAACATTTGACCGATGTACGAGGAACATCGGAGTCGGTCACCCCTCGGCCAACGATTTGCCCATGTGCGGTTAAGCAGTTTGAAGACAATTTTTCGAATGAATTCGTCAGAATCTCTTCGATGATCCAATTCTTTCCGTCATTTAATTTTGTAGTAATTCACCTTACCCCGTCAATTTTGTGAGTTTTTGTCTTTTCGGTTTGTTTCTGTGACCCGTTGGTTGTGTTTTAGGGGCTGGGTCTAAAAAAATCTGAGATCCGGACAGCAAACGCAATTTTCAAGACGTACTAACAGCCTTTCCCCCTGTTGACCATATATTGATCTTTGGTTGACAGTCATGGTTTAAATAGTTCGGTGAGTTTTTGTTTTGCTGACGGACGTTGTGTTAAGTCTAATTATAACGCAGGCATTTATGTATTCTTAGTGTGTGTCAAAACTCGCTGATGTTCCCTCCATCCTTGAAAAAGGACACCGAGGCGTGGAATGGAAGTTAATTAGACGCATGTACACTCAATTTGTGAAACACGATTTTGAATTTAAGTACTCCAAAGTAGGGTGTAGTGAATTGCTTAAACTGCAGTTAACATTTTCTTGTGCAAATTTTACCGACGAATAAATGAAAATTATGAAAAGTTTTCGAAACGTTATTACCAAAATGCAAACATGTACCACACCAATGAAACGAGAGAAAGCAGTCTCTTGGAGATTCTGGGCGAGGCGGCGCTCCTCACGGCCTGCGCTGCGCGCGCACCCCTAGCCCCGTGACGGCGAAACACAGCGTTGGGCTCGAGCAGCAGCTGGTCCTCGGACAGAAAACGAAGTCTTCTTTATTTGGATGAAGTAAGTTCAGGCAACATGAACCTGCAGTCCATAAATTTTTACGTCTGAGGAACCTCTTGAGAAGTGACCTTACCATTCTCAAAGTTTTCCAGTGCTGATAATGCTATTTGGACCATAATGATCTTCTGCGTCATTCAAGTTTGTTGTAGTTTTCCCTGCACTTGTTTCTTCTGAAATATGAATGAAAATTTCGTTACTGTTCCCCTCCGCTTCAAGATCGCATAACGCCACGCCCAAAAAGTTAAAATTTTCAATTTGAACCAAATCTTCGAAGACAATTCAAAAATGGAGTTTTTTTCGGCGTGGGGCTCAGATGGGACTCAGGTCGGAGCTCAAACCAGGCTCGGTTCGGGGCTCTGGCCATCGTAGCTCAGTCAGTGCTCGTGTCGGCGCTCAAGTCGGGCTCGGCCGGGGCTCAGGCCATCGGGCTCATGTCGACCATGCCAGGCTGGCACGACGCTTGCAGCGGTCACCGCCGACTCTGACGCCTTGCCTGAACTGTGCCTAGGCAACTCAAACTCAACACGCGTCAGCAGCACTCCGTCGCTCTGCCTCCGGGTGCGACAGAGGCAGCGATGGATTCTTCGGAAACGCTTTCAGCCTGCCCGCCCTGCAGCTCCCGTCGCTCCTCCTACTGTCCCTCTTGCAGTCTTACGCAGCGCCGACGGGCTGGCAGGCCGGCTGGGCGGGCAGCGGGCGAAGCGTCGTGACCGGCGCGGCGACACGCTCCCATCCCCTACACAGCATGTCCCTGGCGGCCGATCAGCTGATTTTGGTCATTTTGAACATATTCGACACCGCCTCTCTCGCTGCCCCAGCGCCTCCCCGGGCCGGGCAGGGGCTGGTGACCTTTCTTATACCCATGACACCTTTTGGTCTGCGTAAGTTATGACCTCGGGTCCCGTGGGCTCTCGTAATAGTCGATAAACGGTGAAAAAATGGTAAAAATTGAGTGATTTTCGACCAAAAAAATTCAGTTTTTTCAGGTTTTTGGCACATTAGAGGGGTGACCCACGACCCCTCGTGGCTCAGAGTGTTGTCTTTTATGCTACTGAAGACAACTCAACGGTCACCTACCTTGGCCGACGACGTGGAGGCTGTCGGGAGCCTTAAGGGGGCTCATACATGTTAAAAGCACTTTTTAAAATTTTTTTTTGATGTAGACGGATTAAGATTTTACAATTTCTGTGTTAAAATCCTTTTAGATAATTGAGTAAGCTTCATTTTGGCTTAAGGGAAAGTGACTTTGGACATTTTTTGGAGATTTAGTCAAAACGTTTAAAATTTTGCTTCTCGTAAGATTTTGTTTGCATACTTGCTCAGATCTGTGGGGAAAAAATCAGGGAGACTCATCCCCAGTAGTGTCATAGAATTGACTAGAATGGGCTTATATCTGCAATAGTTTTCAAGAAAAAAATAAAAACAATTTTTTGTTGAAAAAATTTGTTTAAAAAATTGTTAAAAAATGTTTTTATTTTTTTTCTTGAAAACTATTGCAGATATAAAGCCCATTGTAGTCAATTCTATGACACTACTGGGGATGAGTCTCCCTGATTTTTTCCCCACAGATCTGAGCAAGTATGCGAACAAAATCTTACGAGAAGCAAAATTTTAAACGTTTCGACTAATCTCCAAAAATGTCCAAAGTCACTTTCCCTTAAGCCAAAATGAAGCTTACTCAATTATCTAAAAGGATTTTAACACAGAAATTGTAAAATCTTAATCCGTCTACATCAAAAACTTTTTTTAAAAAAGTGCTTTTAACATGTATGAGCCCCCTTAACACAGTAAAAACATGAAAAACACCGCTTTTTTGCATAAAACGGCCGGTAGGGTCATCAAAGCTTTGTCTGATCGCAAAACCGAGGACAGATCTGAAATCAGCATTAAAAAACGCACCTTTTGAGTGCTATTCCGTTGTCAAAATCGAAAAGTCGCAAATGTCGACGGCCCCTAACGCTCGTGGGAGTGTGCTTGTGAGCACACTCTGAGGAAAGTGTACTCTTCACACGCTAAAGAGAGTGTACTGAGTACACTGTTGAGTTTGCTGAGCAAACATGGACCACACCAATGAAACGAGAGAAGGAAGTCTTCGTCGAGATTCTGGTCGAAAATTGTTCTTACGCACGAGCATTTAATTCTTTTAATTAAATTAGCTCTTAAAAAATTTCCATACTTTGAACTATTTGTGAAACATGTCTCCGATGCTTATTGCTCCGAAGGGAGGTGCTAAAACTGCTCAAACTATGTAGTAAACAGTTTCTTGTGCAACTTTTACCGACGAATAAATAATAATTATGAAAACTTCTTGAAAGGTTTATTACAAAAATACAAGCATGCAACACACAAACGAAACGAGAGACAGCAGTCTTTTGCGAGATTCTGGGCGAGGCGGCGCTCCTCACGCCTCACGGCCTGCGCTGCGCGCGCACCCCCAGCCCCGTGACGGCGAACACAGCGTTGGGCTCGAGCAGCAGCTGGTCTTCGGACAGAAAACGAAAATCTTCTTTATTTGGGATGAAGTAAGTTCAGGCAACATGAACCTGCAGTCCATAAATTTTTTCGTCTGAGGAACCTCTTGAGAAATGACCTTACCATTCTCAAAATTTTCCGTGCTGATAATGCTATTTGGACCATAATGATCTTCTGCGTCATTCAAGTTTGTTGTAGTTTTCCCTGCACTTTTTCTTCTGAAATATGAATGAAAATTTCGTTACTGTTCCCCTCCGCTTCCCAAAATCGCATAACGCCCAAAAAGTTTAAAAATTTTTAATTTGAACCAAAAACTTCGAAGAAAAATTCAAAAATGGAGTTTTTTCGGCGTGGGGCTCAGATGGGACTCAGGTCGGAGCTCAAACCAGGCTCGGTTCGGGGCTCTGGCCATCGTAGCTCAGTCAGTGCTCGTGTCGGCGCTCAAGTCGGGCTCGGCCGGGGCTCGGCCATCGGGGTCATGTCGACCATGCCAGGCTGGCACGACGCTTGCAGCGGTCACCGCCGACTCTGACGCCTTGCCTGACTGTGCCTAGGCAACTCAAACTCAACACGCGTCAGCAGCACTCCGTCGCTCTGCCTCCGGGTGCACAGAGGCAGCGATGGATTCTTCGGAAACGCTTTCAGCCTGCCCGCCCTGCAGCTCCCGTCGCTCTGTCCCTCTTGCAGTCTTACGCAGCGCCGACGGGCTGGCAGGCCGGCTGGGCGGGCAGCGGGCGAAGCGTCGTGACCGGCGCGGCGACACGCTCCCATCCCCTACACAGCATGTCCCTGGCGGCCGATCAGCTGATTTTGGTCATTTTGAACATATTCGACACCGCCTCTCTCGCTGCCCCAGCGCCTCCCCGGGCCGGGCAGGGGGTGGGGGACCTTTCTTATACCCTGACACCTTTTGGTCTGCGTAAGTTATGACCTCGGGCCCGTGGGCTCTCGTAATAGTCGATAAACGGTGA